AGACCAAAAAAAGCAAAAAAAAAAAACCAAAAAACAATAAAACAAAACAGAATGTGCTTTCTTATTGAAATAGCAATCTCTGCAGATCGTAATGTATCTTTGAATATAACTATCAAAATAAAACGATCTTGAAATGGAAATCTCAAAAATGTGGCACATGAGGTCATCAATAATTCCAGTTGTAGTTGGAGCCCTCGGATTGATTGGAAAAAGTCCTGATAGACTGATTGAAGGGATTCCTGGTAGCCCATGCCTTAAAGAAATACAGAAAATTATACTCACAAGTACAGCTCACACATTACGAAGAGCTTCATCTATGTAAAATGTGTTTGGGCTTAGTTTTTTTTATAAGAAATGATCAGTGGAAGATGTCATGAGGCCATTTCTGATCTTAGGTTTGGATTCGGAAAGAAATGTGTATACAACAGAAACACAAGGAAATAATAATAATAATAATAATAATAATAATAATAATAATAATAATAATAATGATTCTGCTTGTTCCTCAGATAGCACATACGTTATATTTTGCCATTACTTCAGATAAACAATGGAACATTCCAGTTTGATTGCAAGGATAGACGGAAGAAAACAAATATCAAAGGCGCTGTTTGCTTTTAGGGAAAGAAAGAAAGAAAGAAAGAAAGAAAGGGAAAGAAAGAAAGAAAGAAAGGGAAAGAAAGAAAGAAAGAAAGAAAAAAGAAAAGAAAGAAAGGGAAAGAAAGAAAGAAAGAAAGAAAGAAAGGGAAAGAAAGCAATAACACTATGTGTTTAACGTCTGCTTCAATAAAATGGAAAACATTGTCGATTTTGAATTTTTTCATTTCTACCATCTTACTTCTTCAAATAGTGAACTGCTTTCATATTTATAATTGTTAGTGTAATATTTTGCTAAAGTTAGGCAATAGAATAGTTTTCATGGGTATTTTATAGTCGAGGAATTCACAAGGAGCTTATTCAACCATGTTGTTAAAAATTATGATCAGAAAAAATCAAATCAGAAAATTAAAATAGAAATACAGAGAAAAATTTACGTTTATTGTAAATAATAATAATAATAATAATAATGATGATACTAATGATAATAATAATGATGATAATAATAATAATAATAATGATAATAATAACAATAATAATGATGATGATGATAATAATAATAATGATAATAATAACAATAATAATGATGATGATGATAATAATAATAATGATAATAATAACAACAACAACAACTCAACTGACAAGCGCTTGGAGAATAATCGCTTTGATATCACATTTACGCACTAGAATGGCTACGAATAGATCCTGATATATGCGGCCGTAACTTGGGCGAAGAACATCGTGAAGACGTTGCAGGTGAAAATACCGAGGTTCAAGGACCTCGAAAGTTCCAAGGCCGAGTGGATAAAAGCGTCGGTTGAAGTAATTCAGTGACTTGACCCAAAAGAGTTGTGAGTTCAATACCTGGCTACGGCTGAGGTGAACAGAAACTTGGAGAGTTGAGTTAACGGGAAGTAACTGATACTGAGATATCCAGAAGATATATGGCAATCTACTCCGGTGGACAAAAATTTAGGGTTCGGTTCGAGATTCCAATCACCTGAAGAAGGCCGGAGCGTATAATGGCCGAAACGTCGTGAATATGTTAACAAAGATGAGGATAAACATTCTGGACATTGAAAATAGTGTAAACAATTACAATACTTAATCTTAGAAATATAGACAAAAAGATTTGATAAATTTTAACCGAGTGTAGCACTGGCTTCTCCGTCAGTGAATGTTTCCTTATAAGGAAATGGCTAAAATTGCTATTACCAACAAATAGAAAAAGGTCGTTTTTGTAGAGAAAACGAGATGTTTACCCACAAATGAATCCTGTAAGTGGGCATCAAGGGGATACAGAATCGGATATTCCCAAGAAGGAACAGTTGTAGAATAAAAATTGGCAAATATCTTGGGTTCGACTATGCAAAGGAATATCAACACAAACCAGAATCTGTCCGAGAAAATAAAAAAAAGATCGTCCTGTGAGACGTTAGAATCCAAGCCGACCACCCTGTAGCTGTAAACAATAAGGAATAAGGGTGTACGTTGCCTTGTATTCCAACTGACAAAAAGGTGGAGGCGAATTAAGGAGTAAAAAATAACAAGACCACACACGTGAAATTTGAAAACTGTGGTGCATAAAGGACAGGATTGTACTCATAATAGTAGGCGCACTTGAAACAGTGACAAAAAGCAGTAGAATCGAGACTGGATAAATTAGAAATTCAGCGAATATTTGCGATCGTCGTTACTGGATTCTGCGTTGATACTGCGTAAGGTGCTGGAAAATTGAAGAGATAACCAACATACGTTTGTTGTAAACATACAAATACATAAAACAATAATAATAATAATAATACGTACAGCTTGCTCCTTAAAAAGCAAAATGCGTGTAATCCTAGGTTCTTTGTCTTTTTTTTTATAAAAAAAGAAAGGCATAGTGGAAAATGTCATGATGTCATTTCTGACCTTAGATCTCTGGTTGGGACCCGAAATGAAATGAGTTTATAACAGAAATCAAAGGACATAAATAAATAAATAAATAAAATAATAATAATAATAATAATAATAATAGTATACATTATTATCAAAGATAGAAATGAAAATGTTTGCACACTGATTGACATAAGCGGGCCGTGTGACAAAAAAATTCCTATAGAGGTTTTTGCAAAACTAAGCCAATACGATGACCTGGAGATGGAGACAGAAAAAAATGTGGCATTTAAAAACTAAAAAAACTGTTATAGATGGAGCTTTGGGTTTGATAAAGAAAGGAAATCAACGAAATTCTTGGTGCGCTATGTCTCCAGAAAATAATATTAATAATAAAAATAGTTGTAACATGCACAGCCAATATCCGGCGAAGAGCTTTTTCCATTTAAGTGTTTTTTTTGTTTTGTCAATAGCTGTCTTTTGATTAACTGAGTGGAAACAACAAAAAATATCATCCTTCGCTTGACTTCGGTCAAACCCGGCATGTGTTTAGAAAAAAAGAATGTTTTTTTTAATAACAACAACAATAACAACAACAATAATAATAACAATAATAATAATAATTACACATCAGTGGTTGAGGAGTGCCGGCCTTAAAGCTGAGACAGAAGGTCTAATTATTGCAGCTCAGGACCAAATCTTTGCAACCAGATCCTATCACTGACACATAATCAAGGATGGAACTAACCCAAAATGCAAGATCTGCGGAAAATATGATGAAACTGTCGACCATATTATCTAGCAAATACCTTAATATACCCACAGACATAACAGTGTAGCGACATATGTGCACTGGAAGATATGCAAGAAGCACCAAATCAAAACCACTGAGGTATGAGCACCAACCAGACACAGTTACCCAAAATAACAATGTAACTATCCTCTGGGATATGCCAATTCAAACTAGCAGGGAAATAACAGAAAACAGACTTGATATTATTACAAAAGGCGAAATAAATGTCAAGGAGTGTATGCTTATTGACATAGCAGTGCCATATGAGAGAAACACTTCCATAAAAATTATCGAGAAATTGTCCAAATACAAGGATCTGGAGATCGAGATTAACAGGATGTGGGGAATGAAGACTGAGACTGTACCAATAGTAATCGGAGCACTGGGCCTCGTGAGAAAAGGAAGGGACTATTTTTCCAACAGTGTCCCAGGTAACGTCAACATACAAATCACCCTACTAGGAACATTCCATATGCTAAGAAAAGTGCTACCAATTACATGACAATTCTCCTATAGGGCCTAAGGACCATAGTTTTGATCTGGCTCTACATGATACAAAGCAGGAAACATAACACACAAAAAACAACAACAAAACAAATACAATAATAATAATAATAATAATAAAAATAATGAGTTTGATATCCTTGATTTCATAGCATTTCAATTAACAAGCTGATTTACTTTCAATCTCTAAGTACCATGACGTAGATAGGATTGGGTTACTTAATAAGAGTGTCAAAGTCGAATCTAAGACCTGATGAACAATATTACATTATTACGGTTAAGTAGTTTAAAAATAAGTTTGTTGTTTATGCTAAATCTTTATCGTAAGGAATTAAGAGCTGAAATGTTCCTTATATGCATTAGTGCACTTCCGTTTTTACGTTTAAATATATATATATATATTTTAATATGATTCAATATGCGACATTTTAAACTGTTCATCCATTTTGTGCAGGCCAACCGGAATATTAGTTTTCCTTTGGGAGAAGCGAGAACTCGAGAAGTAATGGAATCAGTAAGTCAGGCTGCCAGAAGATTGGATGTTAAAAGAGGAAAAAAAGCAAAGAGAAAGAAAGAAGACACCGTAGATAGATAGATAGATAGATAGATAGATAGATAGATAAGCATCTTGTAAAAGATAAAAAATAAGTTAAAGAAGAAAGAAAGCAAGAAATAAATAACTAAAAGAAGAACCAAAATAAAACGGAGAAGATGGCTGATTAGAAGAAGAAGAGGAAGAAAAAGAAGAAGAAGAAGAGGAAGAAGAAAGATGAGGAGGAGGAAGAGAAGAAGAAAATAATATTACTAAGAAGGAGGACGAGAATAAAGAGGAGAAGAAGAAAAACAGGAAGAAGAAGAAGAAGAAGAAGAAGAAGAAGAAGAAGAAGAAGAAGAAAATAATAATACTAAGAAGGAGGAGGAGAAGAAGAAGAAGAAGAAGAAGAAGAAGAAGAAAAAGAAAGAAGAGAATGAGGGAGAAGAGCAGGAGAAGAAGATTGAAAGAGTGATAAGAAAATGTGTAAAGATCAAAAAGCAAGTAAACAATTAGAAAAAAGTACAAAAAATGAAGGAAGACACATGAATGAAAATTAAAACTAGAAGAAAAATGAATGTGAATGAAAAAATAAGAAGGAAAGAGGGAATAGAGAAAAGAATAGATCACAAATAGTTTAAATTGAGATGAAGCAAGAAAATAGAGGAATAGTAGAAGAAAGAAACAATTAGAAAGAAGAAAAAGAAAGAACTAGAAAAAAGAAAGACAAAAAGGAAAGAAGAAGAAGAAGAAGAAGAAAGAACTAGAAAGAACTAGAAAAAAGAAAGACAAAAAAGGAAAAAGAAGGAGAAGAAGAAGAAGAAGAAAAAGAACTAGAAAAAAAAAAAAGACAAAAAGGAAAAGAAGAAGAAGAAGAAGAAGAAAGAACTAGAAGAACTAGAAAAAAAGAAAGACAAAAAGGAAAGAAGGAGAAGAAGAAGAAGAAGAACTAGAAAAAGAAAGACAAAAAAGGTAAGAAGAAGAAGAAGAAGAAGAAAGAACTAGAAAAGAACTAGAAAAAAAAGACAAAAAAGGAAAGAAGGAGAAGAAGAAGAAGAAGAAGGAAGAACTAGAAAAAAAAAGACAAAAAAGAAAAGAAGAAGAAGAAGAAGAAAGAACTAGAAAGAACTAGAAAAAGAAAGACAAAAAGGAAAGAAGGAGAAGAAGAAGAAGAAGAAGAAGAAGAAAGAACTAGAAAAAAGAAAGACAAAAAGGAAAGAAGAAGAAGAAGAAGAAGAAAGAACTAGAAAGAACTAGAAAAAAGAAAGACAAAAAGGAAAGAAGGAGAAGAAGAAGAAGAAGAAGAAGAAAGAACTAGAAAAAAGAAAGACAAAAAGGAAAGAAGAAGAAGAAGAAGAAAGAACTAGAAAGAACTAGAAAAAAGAAAGACAAAAAGGAAAGAAGGAGAAGAAGAAGAAGAAGAAAGAACTAGAAAAAAGAAAGACAAAAAGGAAAGAAGAAGAAGAAGAAGAAGAAAGAACTAGAAAGAACTAGAAAAAAGGAAGACAAAAAGGAAAGAAGGAGAAGAAGAAGAAGAAGAAGAAGAAGAAAGAACTAGAAAAAAGAAAGACAAAAAGGAAAGAAGAAGAAGAAGAAAGAACTAGAAAGAACTAGAAAAAAGAAAGACAAAAAGGAAAGAAGGAGAAGAAGAAGAAGAAGAAGAAGAAGAAGAAAGAACTAGAAAAAAGAAAGACAAAAAGGAAAGAAGAAGAAGAAGAAGAAGAAGAAAGAACTAGAAAAAAGAAAGACAAAAAGGAAAGAAGGAGAAGAAGAAGAAGAAAGAACTAGAAAAAAGAAAGACAAAAAGGAAAGAAGAAGAAGAAGAAGAAGAAGAAAGAACTAGAAAAAAGAAAGACAAAAAGGAAAGAAGGAGAAGAAGAAGAAGAAGAAGAAGAAGAAAGAACTAGAAAAAAGAAAGACAAAAAGGAAAGAAGTAGAAGAAGAAGAAGAAGAAGAAAGAACTAGAAAGAACTAGAAAAAAGAAAGACAAAAAGGAAAGAAGGAGAAGAAGAAGAAGAAGAAGAAGAAGAAGAAGAAAGAACTAGAAAAAAGAAAGACAAAAAGGAAAGAAGAAGAAGAAGAACAAGAAGAAGAAAGAACTAGAAAAAAGAAAGACAAAAAGGAAAGAAGAAGAAGAAGAAGAAGAAGAAGAAAAAGAAAGAACTAGAAAAAAGAAAGACAAAAAGGAAAGAAGAAGAAGAAGAAGAAGAAGAAGAAGTAGTAGTAGTAGTAGTAGACTGGCAAATGCGAAGAGGTCTCTATGCAGTATTGTACAGATGGTGTTTAGAAACATAAGATAAACAAGTGATCAACACTTGCCTGCAGACATACGGAAGTCTCAATGCCTTCATTGTTCGACGCTCCATCGGTCAGCAGTGTTTCCTTCAAGTTACTAGTTATTTGTTTTGGATGGGCCTGTTTTTATTTCTTTTCACGTCTGAGAAATCCCAGTCGTCGAAATAAAAGAGAAAGCTCATTCTTTTCCAACAGTGGTGAAAGAACGGAAGTACGAAATATAGAATTTTCTAACATATGTTTAGGTGAAGTTGCCTACAAAGCTACTGGCCAGAAAAATAATGAAAAAATAAAGTAAAATAAAACGAGAAGAAAAAAAATTGTATGAAATGTGAGAAACAGACGAAAATGAGGACAAATAAAATAAATACTTACTGACCGAGATGAATAAAAATCGATGAATGAAAAGAGAACTAATTTTAGATAACGATTGGGGGAAAGATATAGTTTCAGCACATCTCCACGGAAGGACGTGTAGGGACATTATTATTATTATAAATAAATAAAGATAAAAAATAAAATAATAATAATGAAAATTATAAATGAAATAAAATAAAGCAGTAACATGAAAAATTTTGTATAAAATAAATTAAATAAAAAATAAAAATAATAAAAATTCTCCCAGCATATAACAGAAATTGTTCCTGATTGAAATACGAACATCCCACCGAAAGACGTTGAATTCAACCTCTTCACCAACAACCCTCGGACAGTCAACACGTGTCCAACTTCTCTCTCTCTCTCTCTCTCCCGGTGACATGGCGTGCAATAATACGAAGTAACTTCTTGTAACATGCACCATGAAACATTTGTAACCAAAAATACACATGCCAGTACACATAAAAAATAAATAAATTGCATGATATGAATGTACAATTTACCATGCTTTCACTGTTAGCCCTTTGTTTTATTTCTGCGATGTATGTTTTCTCTTTTCCGTAAACATGAGGCTATTTCTGCTGCTATGATGTTAGAGACCATTTTTTATTAAATAATTTTTTTATTAAATAATCTTTTCAATATTTCCACAAGACAATAAAAGGCCTGTGTGCCTTTATAATATGGAGAAAATAATTGTGAGCGAACAATGTATATTCTTCAAGTACAGTGCTGTTCGATAAAAGTGACTCACCTTATCCTTTGAATTTAGCTCAACTTTCGTTTCATCGGAGAAGAGAACATTCTTCCAGTCTTCTACGGTGAAATTTTTGCAATAGTGAGCCCATTCAAGTCTCTTGGCTTTGTTGGCTTTGCTTATTAGCGGCTTAAACCTTCGTGTACAAGATTTGTAACCTTGTTCTAACAGACTGTTGAAGAGGCAAGACTAACACCTTGCTCTTCGCTTAGACTGGATGCAATTTCTTGGCTAGTTATAGTCCTATTCTTCACACCTTCTCTCTTGATTACCCTGCCAGTTCTATCATCAATCTTTTTCTTTCGTCCCCTTCTTTCCTTCATTGGAGCAGAAGTAGCATCATTATGTGCCCTAAGCACCCGAGAGACAGTTGATTGTGAGGTTATAGCAACTTCTGCAATTTCTCTCGTAGACTTGCCTGCTTTTGAGAGGGCAATAATAGATGTTTTAAGTGGTTCCGATGCGTATTTGTACCCTTTCATCTGGTTAGTAACTTGAGTGGCTATTTCAAGCTGCTTTTATACTGTATGATGCTTTCTGGAATATTCTGGAATACTCTAGATTTAATGTAAGCTGTTCTAGAATTATCTAGAATATTGTTCTGAGTGTATTGTAAAATAGTTTTCAATATTTTGTCAAAAGCTCTTTAAATTTACCAGTTTAATCATTAGAATGCGATATCTAAGTCACTTTTTTGCACAGTTTTTTACTTGAATCTCATTTATATCCAATTATTTATAATTATCAATAGAATATCTTAGGGTGAATAAACTTTTTTAGTAGGTGGTCGAGAAGGGGGTCTTTATATTTGTAAGATTAAAAATTATTTTAACCCCAAAAACAATAGACAAAAATATTTTTATTAAAAAAAATTAGGTGAGTCACTTTTATCGAACAGCACTGTACAGTGTGAGACTGGTTCAAATTTCAGACTAGTAGTAGCCATATCAGCTATGAACGAAGCTTGAGTCAAATGAGGCGAATGCATTCACGTACTCATAAAATATTTTCATAAAAATATTTTTGGTCTTTGCAATTTATTTTGTCATCATTTCCATTCGTTTCCCCAATTTTTTACAATTTTTTTTCCAAATCATTTCATTTTGCTTTTTGTGTTTTTTTTCCCCATTTTCCTGCTGATAGTATTTTTTTTTTCATTTTCCTGCTTATTCTATTTTGGGCAAGGAAAACCATTACGCCACCCGCACTGCAAAATCTGAAATTCTCAATGAATATAAAAAAATTCACTTTATCTCTGTCGATGCAGATAGAGAAGTGTGTGTGTGTGTGGGGGGGGTAGATAAGATATTAACATATGAGCACACATAAATAGATAGAGCACACAAAGACAGATAGATATAAAAAAAAAGAGCATACTATGAGAAAAAAGGCCTCAAACTTGATAAAAACAAAGTTTTATCGTCAAAATCTTTATGTTATTATTAAGAGGAAAGACCAAATTATTTTTTAATTATTTTATTAACTTTTTTAATCCTTTCCAGCGCGTTCGAAATTCTAGTTAAAAAGCTTGTTTCTCTTGCCTCAGCGGGTGGGCTAAAGATTTAGCGTATTTTTTCGCGTTAAAAGCACATTGTTTTGGAAATTCTTGCAAAAATCATATAATAGTTAGATTTTAACGAAATTCTCGAGACTTATTTAACAATGAATGAAATTCTTTTTGAAATTTTTTTTTGAGAAAATCTTGGCAAAAATATTTTGTTTCATATTTTTCTAAATTTTATGAAATTCATATTTATATTAGTTAAACGCAAGACTCCTTGGAAAATGTAAATCATCAATCTATTTTTGTTTTTGTTTCAATTTATTAAGTTTTAGTTCTTTTAAAATTCTGTATTAATTTCAAACTTTTCGATGCTATTATTTTTAAATGAAAAGTATATTTACTAATCATAAATGGAAAAGCTTAATACAACTCATCAAACTTTAATCTTTTAAAATGAATTAGATTTTTTTGTATGTGGATAAACGTGCCGATTTTTGTAAGTACGGATGACCATCGCGACATTATTAGAAAATAATAGCAGGATAAATGTCACAGGAGCGCTTCTACGTCGTCATCGTCGACTTCTTTCTCCTACTTCCTGTTCTTCCCCATCCTCTTTCTCCTTTTCCTCCTTCTTCTTCTTCTTCTTCTTCTTCTTCTTCTTCTTCTTCTTCTTCTTCTTCTTTTTGTACTTTTATTCTTGGCCTTAGTTTTGCAACAATTTCATCCTTTCATATACTGAAAACCAAACAAAAGTTAAAAGAAATGAACATTCATCGTAATGTTTTCTTATTTAGACGAAGTTGAAATCGCTTAACATGAACGATTGTACAATAATCGAGAAAAGCGTAAAAACTGAATCCGATCTCCTCTCTCAACTGCAGTATAATAAATAAAAACGAAATTGCTGATAAATTTATTTTTATATGGTCGTCGGTCAGATGTGACTCAAGCCATGTTTGTTGAGGATTACACTTTTTCGAAAGAACGAATCAGAAATATTCGTAACGCAAACACAATTTATAAGATCTTTGGTTCTTGGTTATTTATAAGTGTTCAATTTTCATATGGGTTATCTCTTTGGAGGTATTCATGAACTCAAGAGTTCTTATCTACGCTTCGACCGATACGCCTTTCAACCTTCCTAGTGTCGTCTGCAGTTCAGTTATAAAGCTTTACTCTTAATCATGAATTATTCGTTCTGGTCTATTCCTTGTTTTGATCACAATATTGCAGCTGTTTCTGTTGCTACATCGTTTGAGGATAGTAAAAATCAATAATGCTGTTACTTGTTTTGATAGTATGAACACAATAATAATGCCAATAAAACATATTAAAACACCATCATCGGAAGCATCATCAACAACTGTTAATAATAATAATATTAATAATTCGTTTATTATTAATATAATAATTTTACTACTGCTATTCCGCCCTGCTGTTTAACCCATAATTTCATCTACGGGCTAACTAACAGGATAGAAAAAGCTGTTTAGCCTTGTGTGGCAACCAGTCTAAGAGAAGGAAAATTCTGAATTCTAAACTGTGGCGAAGGCAAGGAATAGTCATTCTACTATGTCCCCTAAGAATGCATAGCAATACACAGATAAAAAAGAACAGGAATCCGTGGAGAATGGTAACGTCTTTAAGGGACATAGCATTAAAACATGAAAGGAAAAATAATGTAACATTGAGATAGAATTAGCAGTAGTACTTCTTATTAGAGGACTGGGCGCAGTCAAGACGAGACTTGATGACATACTTGAGCAGATCCAAGGTGAACCATGTACAGGTATGCCAGGTAGGAAATGTCGCCTTCTTAATAACCACTCACATATCAAGCGGATTCCAAATATAAATTTAACAAGTCTCTTGTAACTTGGTCATAAAGCCTGGCATTGAAACAATGACAAGTAGTATCAAATGGAATATGAAGTTGACCGATTCTCTCATAGTTCTTGCTTGGAACCATCCCGAAGTTGGAAAAACTGGGAAGTATCATAATTATCAAAACAACATCCCTGAAAATAGCTAGAAGACAGAGGAGAGAGCTGGTGCATTGAGAAGATTTGCTGTCATATTATCTCCTTTGTAAGTTACCATTTAGTGTGGAGACCCAATAAATAGTAATGACTATAAGGCAAATAAAACTGCCAGACTTGTAGAAACAATAAGGAAAACTAGATACGGATAAAACCAATTTTTAGCAGATTAGAAAAGAACTAAAATGGATTAACGAACCCGATAAAGGTCTTGGTAGAAACTGAAAAAAAAAACCCCAAAAAACAACTCAATTAAATGCTCAATTCAACAGATTCGATTATAATAAAAATTGCAGTAAATATTCTTAAAACCTTGATCTCTACTTTGCATTAAATTTGCATTAATAAAAATCAAGTATAAAGATATCAGTATCTGTCTATATTTCTGAGATGAGATATTATGTACAGTATTTACATTATTCGGACTATTGTCCTCATCTTTGTCGCCATATTTATTACAACGTTTCGGCCTTTCAGTATCTGTCTATATTTCTGAGATGAGGTATTATGTACACTATTTACATCATTCGGACTATTGTCCTCATCTTTGTCGCCATATTTATTACAACGTTACGGCCGTTGTACGCTCCGGCCTTCTTCAGGTGGTTGAAATGTCGAACTGAACCCTTTATTTCGCTCATTGGTGTAGACTGTTCTAGTTCTACGTGCCATGTTTAATGGATGTCAGTTATCCGTTATCTCCTGTTAATTCACCTCTCCAAATTCTCCACTGTCTTAACTGGGTATTGAACTCACACTCTTTGGGTCTTGATACTGGATCTAACCAACGCCTTTATCCACTGTGCCATGATAGTTACAGAAAATTAGTTCACCATGTCCTGGCAGAATTTTTCTCTCCAATTCTTTTGTCTTGCACATTGCTAAGTTTAGCATTGATCCGTTCATCGAAATATTGCTATCACATCTAGTCTGCCATATCTATTCTGGTGCTTTTGTCTTATTTTTATCACTAGATATTTTTTTACAAGATCCAAGGAAGTTATAAAGAGCTTTTTTCTTTGGAACTTCGACGTCACTAATATAAGTACAGTAGGGGATTGACAGCTAGATCTCATAATTTCACGGTTGAACTCAATAGTTGTAGCCGTAAGTTCTATGCTAATAGTTTCTTCTGGCTGGCGAAAGTCTCTTTCGGCTGCGTGATTTCCTCTCAACTACGTTTTTTCCAAAACTTAAATGCAATGTAAATCTTCTTCTTATGCCTCCTTGAACCCATTCTTTTATTGTACTCTCTCTTTTTTTTTCATTCGGAGTAACTCCTAGTGTTTTTTGTTGCATATATCAGTTGGTTTATGGTGAAATGATTAAAAAAAGGAGAAAAATCTTTATTACAAGTGTTACTTAATTCATCATTTATAATTATCAAATTATTTTACATTATTTTTAACTAATGTATGGCACAAAGACGACAAAAAGATTACTGAAAGAGGTTTTGTTCTATGGACGTCAGGGGTGAATGAAAGAAGTGTATATTATTTTATTTATCAACTTAAAAATTCTAAATTGTTTGTTTTTATCATGGTACCAATCAAGTCGACAATATGGAGATGGGTGACGATATCACGAGAAGAATTTAGTAATTCCTTCATCTCCATGTAGTGGACTGTTCTGGTGACATAAAACATTGCAACTCACAGGAACACATATATGAGAACTATTCAGCATCTATCCTTCTCTCTCTCTCTCTCTCTATATATATATATATATATATATATATATATATATATATATATATATATATGTGTGTGTGTGTGTGTGTGTGTGTGTGTGTGTGTGTGTGTGTATGGCTTTTGAACACATATCTTCCCGATTCTCAGAATATACATATCTGACATAAAACATTGCAACTCATCGGAACACATATATGAGAACTATTCAGCATCTCTCTCTCTCTCTCTCATTTATATATATATATATATATATATATGTGTGTGTGTGTGTGTGTGTGTGTGTGTGTGTGTGTGTGTGTGTATTGCTTTTGAACACATATCTTCCCGATTCTCAAAATATACATATCTGCTCTGTTTCTTATCCTAACGTAAACAACGACAATTTTTTAGGAAATGGATTATTAAATCCAACATTTTTTTTAATTTATTTAAACGTTCTTTTTCATTATCTATTTAGTACATATTCTGTGGCGAATAGAGAGAAAATAGTAAAGAGTAAATTAACACAAAAAGTTCAATCAGAAAACTAAATAAAAGAAAGTTGAAAAGAAGGAAGGAAGGAATGAAGGAAGGAAGGAAGGAAGGAAGGCAGGATGGAGAGAAAGAAGAAAGAATGAAAGATGAAATGAATTAATAAAGTGGAAGGAAAGAAAGAAAGATGTACGGAGGGAGGAAAGAAGGAAGTAAGGAAAGAAGGAAGGAAAGGAAAAGAAAAATGAATGAAGAAATGTATTAACAAATAAGAAAGAAGGAAGAATGAAAGAAATTAATTAACAACAAGAAGGGATGAATGAATGAATGAATGAATGAAGGAAGGAAGGAAGGAAGGAAGAGAGACAGGAAGGCAAAGAGAGAGGAAAAAATAGAACCAGTTGATAAAAGCTACGGGATAATGAAAGCATGAAAAGGAAAAATGAGGGTAAAAGATGATTTTAGAAAAAGGAATAAATCCCCCCCCCCCCAAAAAAAATGATTTTTACAAATTGCAGAAAAAAATGAACCCTTCTCTCTGAAAATTAAAAATACATCCCGACAAAGAAAGCCAAAAAAAAAAAAAATACGAAGTAAAAACAAAAATGGCGGAGAAAATGACAACAAAGAATACAAGAAATAATATTTAACGTCCAACGGAGAGATTAGAAAAAAAAAAGAAAGAAAAAAAAAGAAAGTTAAAGAAAAAGATACTGAAAATAGTGATTTAAATATACATATGAAGAAAGACGGTTGTGCACAGCGGTTAAGATAGTTGCGGTTTCCATTGGTGGTAGAAGTTGGCATTTGTACCCAGGCTGAAGGCAATATTTCACATTCAGATTTTCCAAGGCGGCTCATGCGGAGCCTCGATTTCTGAAAGAGTCTTGCACGTCAACTTACCGTTCGTCCATTTCTTTCAAGTTGATTTTGGGTCTAATTAAACTTACCCAATATCACGAATGATTGAGAATAAGCAAACAGAAAAAAGTAAGGAGATTTGGGGCCAAACTGAAAAGAATGAAAAGATATGGAGGAGGAGAAGAGGGAAGGGGAAAATATGAAAGAAAAGAAGAAAAAGAAATAAATAACGAAGAAAAGAAGAAAAACTAAAGAGTGAGAAGAAATTAAATAAAAAAGTTAAGAAGGTGGATACGAAAGGAGAAGACAAAGAAGATAACGAAAATGTAAAAATAAAATCAAGAGAAACAAAAAGGAAGAAAGAAAAAAAGTAAGAATGATAGAAAGAAAGAAAGAAAGAAAGAAATAATAAATAAATAAAGTATATAAACTACGTAAAAAAGGAAAGAAGGAAAGCTAATACGTAACGAGAAATGGAGAAGGATTGGAAGGATGTCGAAGAAGAAGAAAATAAAGAAATGGTAAAAAAGCAACGAAAGAAAGAAAGAAAGAAAGAAAGAAATAATAAATAAATAAAGTATATAAACTACGTAAAAAAGAAAAGAAGGAAAGCTAATACGTAACGAGAAATGGAGAAGGATTGGAAGGATGTCGAAGTAGAAGAAAATAAAGAAATAGTAAAAAAGCAACGAAAGAA